AATATATTTTAAAAGATCATTTAAAAATAATTCTTGCCTATTCAACCATAATCCATAAGAATATATTAATGTTGACATTAGTATCATTAGTTGTTACTGGCTCATTCCTGGACCCAGGAGTTCACTTCTAGTGCTGTGCTACTAGATAGTCAGTGATATGCAGCAGTTGTCTGTAATCTTTCATTTATAACTTGCTTTTTCTGTCCTGCCTCATGGAGAGAGTCTCCATTCAGGCTTATGTGCACAATATAGTCGTGTTGGATTAGAAGCCTATTTCTTAACAGTAAGCTGAGAAAACGGGGTTTTACGTGTTGGTTTTTGTTTTTTACTGTTGGTGATGGGGTTTTTTGGGTGTGTGTGTGGAAGCTTTCAGAAGGACCTTTGTGGGGTTTTGGCAGGGGAGGGTTGTCAGTTTTAGTTTCTTCAGGATTCACATTCTTTCTTGTTTTCTGATTTGATTTGTTATTACCTCTTAGTTTGTAATAGAGAAGCCATCAAGATTGCAGAAGAGAGGGAGAACATTTAAGTCATTAAACCAATCCATCCATCTTCATAATTTTTTTTCACTCCATTTCTTGCTTGGATAAACTGATTTCCATGAGGTAATGATATAAAATGGCATCAGTTTGCTCCACAATGCTACAGAGTTTATATATTTTCAGTACTTTAAAAAAGTCACAACAAGGAAATACGGTCACTGAACTGTAACTCAAGATGTGTTTAATAGGTGTGGGTTTTTTTCCAAGCATGCATCGTGTTTAGGTTGCTAGTGTAAGTCAGTAATAGAAGAGATTCCTGATATGTGTTGGAAAAGAACTTTTTTCTGTTTTATGTTAACACAGAGATGTGCTGCAGTCATTGACTATGGTGTCTCTAGAGAGAAGTACTGGAGTTCATCTCAGCCCTAAGGATACTGCTTAAGCCTTGCTGAGTAAACCAGTGGAAGATGAACATGCAAGGGGAAAGAGTGGTTTTCATTCTGATAACGTATAACAACTCAGAAAAACTGCCGTAAGACCATAGTGGTATTTGGTAAAATGAACAGTCGTGAACTTTTAGTTTTACATATTATAGACTTCTAAAGAGTAAATTTAGCCTAAATGCATAGATAGGCATAACAGTTAGTGACATTTGTCAAGTACGTGTTTGATAACAAGTAGTTTCTGCAGGCATCGTATTCATCACCTTCTGAGTCTACATTCATAAAGTTGACTAGAAAACTGTTTTTCAAGTTTTGTAAAGTCTTTCTCTGAGTAATGAGATATGGTATATATTAGTCTTATTCTCCAAGATGGTCTCCCTTTTCTTTTTGCTGACGTGTTTGTTTCTGAAGATAGTAATCAAAACATGAAGTTGCATAAGTATTTCTTAGACTGCCAAGTATGCCCTTACTTGTTCGTAGGTGGTGGACTGGTCAGTGGTGTGTAGATGTGCTGAAAATCCTTTATTGTATTTAGCCCATAAAGGGCAGCATGACTGTAACAGGGCAGCACTGTGTGTACAGCTCCTATTTTATTTGGTTTTAAGATGGAAATTGTTCTAATGGCTGTAGATCTTGCTCTCTTGTCTCTTCAGACTCTAAAAAGTTTGTGCAACCATGTAACCATTTTAGATAATAGCTGTGTGTGCGTAGACTGATTACATGTAGCTGCATATATATTAACTGTAGTTTGCATCACTCAATACAGAAAAGGCAAATTTTATGTAAGTGCAGTCCTCAGAATTGTTACAACACATACAGTATTGGTTAATATACCATATAGAAATGGGGTTTTTTTGGACAACCTACATACTGCTACCTCCTTGGTGTAGGAAAAAGCCCCTGCTAGTAAGAACTTTCCTTGACTTAAAAAAAAAAAATTAAATAGACATGGCTGCTCGCACTAAGAAAATCCTTGTGAATTTTCAGCTTGCAAATAACGAAGCAGATAATAACCCCCTAACCCCCCCCCCCCCCCATGTTATTTCTGAAAATCAGAGTTGTAAGCTAAGTAAATTACATAAGGGCACCAAATAATACTTGGATTGATTACTTTAGCTCGTAGGTAAAAATGAAGCTTATGGAAAAGGATCCTGGTGTCCTTCCTTGTAAGGCAGATCTCTCTCCCATTTTGCTGGTGTGTGTTCCCTGGGTATTTAGAGCCACAGATGTCATCCAGCTTCTGAAGGACAAGCACCTTTTGAGACACAGCTGGTTCTCAGTCCAAGCATGGCTGGGCAGATCTTCAGGGTCACTGGTATTACGGATTTGAGAAGGGTTCTCTGGAGAAGGCTAAACAACAATCAAACCTTTCATTTGAGAACGGTGAATCACTTTAAGATGACATGGATTGGATTATTCAGTTTTTAATAAATGAGGGAAGACTAGGCATTCTCGGGCTTTCTGTTCCAGAGAAAAAACATTTCTGTGTTTTCCTAAAGTGCTTTGTGGCTGACATAAAAAATGGCTGATTTCTGTAGCTAGCTATTAGGAAAATTCTCATCTCTTTACTAGCCTGTGCAAAGACCCCTTTTTTGTGTCTTCTGTCATGGTAACTATTTGGTAAGTACTCAGAAGCTGTTGTAGCTCAGCTGAAGGAGCAGGGATTTCAAGTCTCTGCATACCCTTGAGTGGCTAATTTTGAGGAAGAGATGGCTCGTGTAATGTTAGGTTGCGTGTCCATGAGAATTTAGTTTCTGCTGGAAAATTGTTAAAAAATAGAAAATTTCCTCAACAAATGTTAAGTTGACCTAAAAGTTGACCTAGAAAAGGCAGATTGCTGGGATTCATGGTGTCATGTGTTAAATGACTTCAGAGCTGTTACACTTCATGAAAATTTATGTCATCAATTTTTTTCCTTTCCAGCACACCCCTACTGTTGAGCTTAGAGTGTGATTGGAAAGTTACGTCTTTAGCCAACTCTCACCTCCTGGGTAGAACAGGATCAGTCTGTGCCATTTTTGGTGACAGAAGCAAATGGCGCAACTCACCTAAATCCGCTTCAGGTTTTTTTCTTTTGGGGGATTAGGCCTTACAGCGCCCTGACCAGGATGCACCATATTTCTGTACGGGATGTCTGTGGCACCACCCGCTTCGGTGGGGGGGCTGCAGGGGCAGCCTCTGCGAGGAGCGGCCGGGGCCGCCCTGTGCGGGCACTGATGGTTCTGGCCGGTGCCAGCGGACCCACGGCAGGGCACAGCTGAGCCCCTCAGCCAAGATGGTGGCACCTGTGGGAAGACACATCCAAGAACGGGCGAAACACCACACCTCACTGTGAGGAAAAAGGTGTGAGAAACTGCCCTGTGAGCACCAAGGGCAGTGAAGAAGGAGGGGGCGGAGGGGCTCCAGGCACTGGAGCAGATTCTCCTGAAGCTTGTGGGACAGGCCATGGTGAAACAGGTACTTCCCTGCGTGGAAGAGCATGCCAGGGCAGGTCTCCACACTGCAGCCTGTGCTGGAGCAGGTGGGTATTTTTTGAAGGAACTGTGGCACGTGGAGAGCCCGTGTTGCAGCAGTCTCATCCTGAAGCCCTGCAGCCTGTGGGAAGGATCCACGCTGGAGCAGGAGAAAAATGTGAGGAGGAAGGAGTGGCAGAGGGGAACCGCAGTGGTCGGACCCCAGCCCCATTCCCTACCCTCCCTGTGCCACTCGGAGAGGGAGGAGGTATAGGAGTTGAGAATGAAGGAGTGAAGTTGAGCCTGGAAAAAAGGGGCAAGTGGGGGGGAAGTTCTTTTAGTTTTTGTCTTTGTTCCTCACCATCCAAACCTATTTTAATTGGCAAAAAATTATTTTTCCCCAAGTCAGGTCTGTTTTGCCCGTGACAGTAATTGGTAAGTGGTCTCCCTGTCTTTATCTCGACGCAAATGCTTTTTCACTGTATTCTCCCCCGCACCGCTTTTGAGGAGCGGGAGTGGGAGTGCAGCTGGCTGGGAGTCTGGCAGCCAGCCAGGGTCAGCCCACCACAATGTTGCGTTGACAGAGGCCTACAACACTTACCGACGTCAGCAAGCAGGACTGGGCTCCATTTTGTCTGTGTTCATAAAATTGGTTTGTTCTGAATATGTTGCGCCCATGGGTGTTAACTGTGCTCTCACTGTAGAAAATAGAAACGTAGATAGAAGTGGTCTATTGAAAAGTTATTGTTCGTTGTAATCTAATAATTTTATTATTTTTAGGTCTTTCGAAAATATGTCTGGCCTCAGAGAGAGTACTGTAACTTTGGGGAGAGTATGCCACATTTTTTGTATAAATCTAAACCCCTTCATCCATCATAACTTCCTTAATTACGGAGCATAGCACCACCAAAATTACAATTAAAAATCAGGAAGATGCAAGTCAGCAGACCCAAAAGGGGAAAGACTAAACTTGAGTCCAATTGCTTTCTGCTTGTGCATATGGCTTTAAATATAGGATGTGTTTATTACCTGTCTAATAGTATAATAGAAACATTAGTTTAGCAAGCATAGTAGAAGCCACCAGATGGAGTAGTGTTGCCATCAGAAATGAAAAGAGTAGTAGAAAGGGCATGTTTTTTCTTTCTACGTTTGTAATGTAAGTTGCAAGTTTTTTTAAGGTACTCTGCCAACTTGATGTATAAATCCGTATGTTAGAACTTGTAACCATTGACTGCAGTACTAGCCGTGTTAACACGTTTCTTACTTTTCACCATAAGGTGTTTAGGCTCGGGAAAGCAAGAATGTTTTTCCTTTTATCTTGTTACGAGGTTTGTATTAACCTGAGTTGAAAAACTGTATGCAAATTTGATCTTTTTTTTTTTTTTCCCCTTTCATTTTTTTCTTTATCTCATCACTTGTGTCTGTTTGCCATGTTGTTACTTTAGGAAAGCTAAGGTAGCTAATTTTCTATTAAGTATCTGACAATTTATTCAAATACTTCTTGCTACAGTGCTTTAGAATTAGAAAAGAGTCAGCTGATGACTACACCAAAAGCTATTATTTGCGGATTTTTGTTGCCATTGCCCTCTATTTTCTGTTTATTTTTTTCTCATGTTCTCCTAGGATCTTGCACAAGAGCCCAAAAGCATTTAAAGTTTGCATAATGAAAAGATGGCACAGGCTATGCTGGTACCACCAGGATCTGACAGCTTCTTCTATTTCACCAAAGAATCTCTTGCAGCTATTGAAAAACGTATTGCTGATGAAAGGTCTCATTGTGACAAAGATGAGCATAAAGATGATGGTGGTCATGAAGAAAGTCACCCAAAGCCAAGTAGTGACTTGGAGGCAGGAAAGACACTGCCATTTATTTATGGTGATATTCCTCCAGGAATGGTGTCTGAACCCCTGGAGGACCTGGATCCATATTATATGAATAAAAAAGTAAGTGTTTTATACTAAGAGTGTAATTAGAACACTCCTGTGAAGTATATAGAGTGATAAAATGCTCTGGTGTGGAGGTAGTCAGAAGCCCTGGTTGAAAGTATTATACAGTATGTGGTATCATGGTAATTATTTCGAATACACTGTAAGTATGACTCTAACTCTTCTGCTTAAGTTGCCTTTTTTTTTTTTTTAAAGACCTTTTCTTTTAATATCTAAGGTGTTCTTATGATGATATTTTGAGTTAGTGGATTTTGTATTAGATGTCCTTTAATCTCTTCAAATCTGATTGAATGCTGAAGCATTTGAAAACTTCCTTTCTGTCTGGCTGCTCGGTTCCTTGGGTTTCTAGGAAACATAGACAGTACCTGGGATCTAGTTCAGTAGGGTAGTCTTTGGACAAAGTGCTCATTCAGTCATCTGTCAAAACAATTGACTGTCAAGCATTCCTTGAAATCTCATAGAAATTTGTTTTACAAAAAGTTAAAGGGTAAAGTCTATTTGACTAGGGAGAGACATAAGTCAGAAAAAAAAATATTATCACATATTGCCAGCTTCATGTGATGTGATTTCTGTGGATCAGTAACAGCCTGTGTCGCTTACAGATGTGAGTTCATTATGCTAGGGTTTGCTTCAGGACCACTGCAACTGTTCTGAGTCTCATGGGGAGGATTTGATTTTTCTGGCCAGTTAGTTTTTCCTGATGATTTTAATCATCAGGATTTAATCATCAGGATTTTCATACCAATTCCCCAGTGAGTAATCCTTCCCCGCACTGCCCCATGAGGAACATGAAGACAGTACACTGGTAGGACAATTTGAGGTCATATGCCCTCAGTAATAGTATGTTACAGAGCAAGGAAGTTCTTGAAAGCCTCTGCATCATTCCTCTGAGAATCACTTCACATCTGCATGGATGCAAAGTTTTCCCAGAAATTTTATATAAATGCTGTGGTTTTGTTTAATGTAAAAGAGGATTTGTGGCTCGGTTTCAGTTCAGCAAAACAGTATAAAAATAACATTCATGTGAGTAGCCCCACATTCACTTCTCACATGGGACTGAGTATAAACACTGAAACTGTGTACTTTGAGTTTCAATATTGGGCCTGTGTAACAGGCGCAATATAGACCTGAAGACAAAATCTAAATATATGTATATATGTGTACTCTAATGCGACTCAGTTGCTTTTATAGATATAATAGTAACAAGAGGAGAAAAGAGGAAGGGTGATGACTTTGGCAAGTACAGATGAAGAAAAGATGGGTTTATGTAGGCATGAGGAGTGGAATGATGTTCAGAATGAAAGCAAAATTGAGTTTATATTAAAAAGGCGGTACAAAATAAGCAGTGAGTGGTTATTTTATTGTGTAAATTAATAAAATGCTTGTTAAATTAAAAACATAGAACAGGTTCTTGAAATGAAGTACTGGATAATCAACAGATTAGTATCTTGCATGTAAGTGACCAAAGAGCTATATTATCTCTGTAAGAAGCAACCAAGTTAAAGCAGTGTTTTTTCTAGTACAGAATGTTGAAGACCAATAATCAGGTGTAGTTTTTTTAGTTGTTATTTTAGATTTTGTTGTTTCAGCTTCACGAATGGTACTGTCAAATGATTTATTTCTTTTACAATAGAATATCATTAGAAAACAGAAGGATTCAATGTTAAAACCTGCTTATTTCTGGATATTAGCCTTTTGGGAGAATAATCATAAGATGTAGATTGAATTAAAATTTCATTAGATAACATTTTCATTGTGTCTCCTAGTCAAAATCAAAAATGGTTGCATAAATGGTACTAGTGATGACTGCACAGGCAACAAAGGCAGTAAAGCCTTTAAAAGCCAAGGATGTCTCACCTCAGAAGCAGTTTTAAAGTGCTGAAATGGTTAAATAGTTGCTCGTAAGTGTCCAAAAATGGTTAATTAGGTGCTTTGTTTCACATTGCCAGCTTTGATCTGAAGTGCAAATAATATAGCTGGACTATTTTTTAATGTTAAAAATGACAAATTTTTAACTATATTTTTAATGTAATTACATAATCCTGGAAAATGCTGAAATGCAGATTTTGTTTAAGAGCACAGAGACAAAGAATGCATCGTGTTCAGTTTTCATTGCTCATGTGAAAATTTATAATCTGATATTTGCTTGTGTAATTCTACTGAAAATAAATTTGACTGCTTACATCTGCATAACTGCAGCCTCTACTTATGGCAAGGTTGCTAACGTGTATCCTTAATTTCCTATTTCCTGTCGTCCCCCCCCCCTTTTTGTTTTTTTTAAAGACATTTATAGTATTGAATAAAGGGAAGACAATCTTCAGGTTCAGTGCCACACCTGCCTTGTACCTTTTATCTCCTTTCAATATAATTAGAAGAATAGCTATTAAGATTTTGGTTCATTCATATCCTTTTCAAGTGGTTTGTTTTGTGTTCCTGCCCTTAATTCTTTCTCTCAAAATGAATCAGAGCTAAGACTTGTCACTTTAACCCTCTGATTAAATTCAGAGGAAGAGATGTATGCCTGGATTACAGACTTAGTGGTATAGCCATCATTATTGTGAAACATCTTTGCATTATTTATGACATTGCTAGTGATAGTATACTGATTTGTATCATATATGTTGTCAGTATTCTATAGCCTGGTCAATTCCTCATGTTTTGTATGATGCAAATTCAGCATTAAAAAACCCTATGTTCCTTAACTACAGTCAACGTTGTTCAGCATGCTCATTATGCTCACTATTTTGACAAACTGTGTATTTATGACATGGAATAACCTTCCAGAGTGGACAAAGAATGTAGAGTAAGTATACTTAAATTAGCTAATGATTTTTTAAGTGGTTTAAAAATGAAAAGCTAAATTAAGAGCTAGATCATGTAGTTTTACTTACCCTTGTGTGCGATACCAGTATTCTCCTTTTTCTAGCCTGGAGTTTGATCCTAGCTGCAACTCAACGCAGCATAGACCCGCAAGCTCTAGGAATGAAAGAAGCTGTGATATTGTTAACTTTTTTCTCTGAGCAAAACTCTGATTAATACTCTTGTTCAGAACGTGTGTACAACTAATGTTTTTATGCATTCTCCCTCTTAAGCTGTTCCTTTAGCATTTTTATTAAAAAAAAGAAAAAAAAGGGGAAAAAAAAAAAAAAAGGAAGACAATAGCCATTCAACCTGAAACTACTGCTTTTCAGCATGGAAGATGCTTTCTGTAGCCCCTATGAAGCACCTTTATTTTGTGTAACAAAATCTAAAAGTGGCATAAACACCCTCGTTAAAGAAAATACCTCTGCTGAGGATTATTGTTTGACATTCTCAAGTCTACCTGGTCAGCCATCAAGTAACTTTAGTAAATGCTAGGTTTCACTTACCCATGAATTTTATTTCTGAAATGGCAACCATGCTGAAATTTTTATTTGAGCAAAAATATTTTCTTCATGTTAGTCATGATTATTATTATTTGTGCTGAAAATTCAAAATCTTATATGCCAGAAACGGAAAAAATATGTTTCAGATAAAATACATTAAAAAAAAATAATCCAATTATCTTGTGGAAGAATGGTTGGAAAACAGTCATAGTTTATATGAGTTTGGAACTGCTATTACAGTGCATGTACTAACCACTGTTTTTGAGTGGTTTTCCTTTATGCCTGTGATGTTGTATCACTGAACGACAATCATTAACTTGCTCGGATGTTTTCTCATAGGTACACTTTCACTGGAATTTATACTTTTGAATTTCTGGTAAAAATCCTTGCAAGAGGCTTCTGTATAAATGATTTTACTTGCCTTCGTGACCCCTGGAACTGGCTTGATTTTGTTGTCATTTCCTTTGCGTAAGTATATAATTTCTTTTTAAGTAAATATCAGTTAGAACTTTTTTTGAACCTGTAATAATTTTTTTGGGGTTATCATAGCTCATTTAAAATGAATTGTAGTTGAATTGTGTTTCAACTTTTTCCATTCTAGTATTTTACACTAATGTAGCACACAGCAGAATTAGTGGACTATTCCACAGTACGAAAGAGAACTTACCACTGAACAATCAGTTTTAAATAGTATTTAAACAATAAAATCAGGGAAAACCATTTCATTTTTAATTTGCATTCAATGGAAATACTTAAGGGTGTGTTTCTTAGGGAAAATTTAATTGAAACAGGAAAATATGAATGCAAGTCTTTCATTTAAAGTTGCCTCTTCCAAAAAAAAATAGTCTGGATTACAGGTCCAGGTAAGTAGTGTACACTCTAGCTTAATTCTGAACAATTGTGATTTAATCCTACAGGTATATAACAGAATTTGTAAGCCTAGGCAATGTTTCAGCTCTTCGAACTTTCAGAGTATTGAGAGCTTTGAAAACTATTTCTGTAATCCCAGGTAAGAAGTAACTGTGTAAAATGGTAGGCCCTCTACATCACCTCTGTTTAATTTTGTGTGTGCTGTCATTGTGTTTGTGTGTGGAATCCCTCACTACAGATATGTGACAGAGTTTGTGGACCTGGGCAATGTCTCAGCACTGAGAACATTCAGAGTTCTCCGAGCTTTGAAAGCAATATCAGTCATTCCAGGTGAGAGCTAGGTTAAACACTGAGGCTGACTGAAATTCCACAGAAGCCGAACTCATATTTTTAACAGAAGCATCCAGGTTTTAGTGTTAACTTCAATTTGATTCCTTTTTCTAATTCTCTAAAACACTCAGCCGCAGAGTTTAATACATTCTTGCATGAGAAATTGAATTACATAGCCTGTGTATATTTCCGTTTCATGATGTCAAATTTTCTCTCCCACATTAAGGATCAAAATTAATCCTTTTCATTTTTCTCTTACTAATGTGAATGTTCCTATTTATTGAAGACATTTGGGATTGAAAATTTCAGTCGTCTTGTAAAAGTTGAATCCCTGACAAAGACAAAGGAATAAGATAATAAAGAGTAGCATGGGATTTGCATGTTGTATTTATTACTTTGATGCCTATCTTCACCAAACCAAACCCCACCTCCAGTTGAATAGGATGCAATAGAATGCAATCATTAAAATTTCTACTGCAATGCAATTGTGTTCTGCTTTGCTTGCTGTTACAGAACCAATATATTGTGTATTGGAATAGAACACTGGCAAAGGTTTGGAGCAAGAGGCATCAAGAAGAAAGTAAAATGAACAATTTTCTTTACATGTAGTTTATATGTATAGAGAGCATGAATGAAAAATTACTACTTCATTTGAAGAGCAGGTGCTTTGGAATGTGTACCATTCATTTTCATTAATATTTTCAAATTAATTTGTCAGGAACAATGAGACTTATTGCTACCTTTTTCCTTTGGAAAGTATTTTAAGACTATTTTTGTGAAGCTGTGCATGATATTTAATAGTGTGTTGGAGTAGTTCACATTTCATTTTAGCTTAGGCAAATATTTAATATTATAATAAAAATCTGCCTCTGTTTGCAGGCTTGAAGACTATTGTTGGAGCCTTAATTCAGTCTGTGAAGAAGCTCTCAGATGTAATGATTTTGACTGTGTTTTGCCTGAGTGTATTTGCACTAATAGGACTGCAGCTGTTCATGGGCAACTTGAAGAATAAATGCTTGTTATGGCCATCAGAAAATTCAACATCTTTTGAAAAATACCTATCTCCATACTTCAATGGTACAGTGTTTGATTGGACAGCATACATTGAGAATGAAAGTAAGAAATACTGTTGTAACTTGCTACAATTTTTCTGTATAAACACACACGTGCGCGCGCTATTACTGTTTCATACTATAGGCTAAAGATAAAAATCAGTTAAACAGGGTGACAAAGAGTAGGGATTTTTATGTATCGCATCCCAAACTCATGTTGACATGATTGTTCTTTCCATTCACTGCGCTTAGAAATGTATTTGTAGGGTTAGGTTGGTTTTAGAATCACAGAATCATGCAGGTTGGACAGGATCTCTGCAGTCATCCAGACCAGCTGCTACTCAGCTGCAGGTCCAGTTAGAGCAGACTGCTCAGTGCCATGTCCAGTCAAGTTTTTAATATCTCCAAGGACTGAGATACCACAGCCTCTCTGGGCAGCCTATTCCAGTGTTTGACTAGTCTCATGGTAACTTTTTTAAGTATCAATTCAGAATTTCCCATGCTCAAACTTTTGCTAGTCACCTCTTATCCTTCCAGTATGCGCCTCTGAGAAGAGTCAGGCTCCATCTTCATTACAGTCTTACATGTGGTACTTGTAGGTAGCATGAAGATCACACCCATGCACACACCTTAGCCTTCTGAAGGCTGCACAAAACCAATTCTCTTAGCCTCTTCTTGTATCTTTAGGTTATAAATAAGACAGAAGCACTAGATAAATATCAGAGATTTCCTAGTTAAGAACTACTTTTATTATTAGGTAGAGGTAAGAAACCAATTGCACTCTCTGAAATAAAGAACTCACTAGGCAAGTAGAGATTCTAGTGGGGAAGGAGATGGTTGTTACTAAGGAAGTTGACAAAGACATCTTTATCCAGATATTTTTCAACAGTCTTAATCTCTGTAGACTGAAGTGATAACATTCAAGCTGGTTCAGAAACACACAGATATTTATTTATTTTAATTTGTGTCATTTTAAGTGATAGCACCAGTAAAGCTGTAATACACAATGAACCATGAGATGTAGTATAACAACTTTTAATTGCAAAAAAAATTGATTAATTTTTATGTTTGTGCTGGAAGTGGATTTACAGGGTATTGCTCAGTAATTAATTGTAAAAGTAGTATATTTAAGTAAAAAGAAATTGGTAGTATAATGGATGCTAGCTTTCCTCCTCTCTGACCCAAAAGTAAAAGAAAATACAGTTGTTATAGGCTGAGTTTTGAGGAGTCATATTTCCTTCCTTACTTAAAAATGGACATTAAAGTTCTGCTGTTTTTCTGTATTTGCAGATTTTCTGTCTATACTTCTGAGTTGTTAAAGTTCTGGAAATTCTGTGACTGTATTTACATTTTCTGTGCAATCTGTTATTTTAGCTATTTATTTGCCTAAGAAGGGTTGTGAAAATGAAGTGGTGATAGTGCTATTTATCAGCTTTGTGGGCAGTTTTGGCTGGTAACTTATATGCTGTAAACCACTTGTGAATTCTCTCTTCAAATACAGTATATATATTCTCTATTTCCATTTCCCACTAAGTAGCAATCTAAAACTAAAAGACAGAACTAAAATCTTCCAGAATGTCAGTTGCTTCCTGTGCTGCAACCATTGACTTTGCTGGGAGTCTCTACAGAGTGCTGATGCAGGCAAGGCAGTTCCATCTAGTTGTGTTTGTATTCCTCCTTTCTCATATAACCTGTTCTTAATCATATGTATGTGTCAGTTGCATTATAATTTCACTGGGCTCAGTTGTGGGTCCTAATATTTCTTTCAGCATATCATATGCTGGTCAGCTGTGACTGAGTGTAATACCCTCTAGTGGCTTCTCCTAGCCTCTGTGCATTTTCATTTATTAAGGAACAAGGCCAGGTTCACTTTTTGAAAAGATACACGTAGGTCTTGGATCCACATGTCAAAGTATTGGCATATGGTATTTAGATTAGCATCTGAACATTTAGAGATGTGGACAGCTCTAAAGATGCTATGGAAGTAATAGGATTATCATTTTTCTAATATTGTATATGTACTGTTCTTGAATGGTAGGATTTTGCCATCACTAGATTTGATTTAAGTGTTTGGCTTAGAATCCTCCTATCTTCATACATACTTTATCCCCTGGGCTTTGTCTGACTACTTAAATACTACAATAGTGTTTTACCCTGTGAAAACTAAAGCCTTTTGTCAGCTTGAAAGGTACATTGAGGATATTAATTGAGGCTGGCAGAAGATTATTTTAGTTGGGATAAGAGTTTTTTCCAGATACCTGTCTCTTTTCTAGATCTCAGTGCCTGGCTATCTTCATAGTGAAAAGTTTCTCCTTATAACCAGTTGGAACCTCTCTTGTTTCAAATTATGCCCGTTTCTCCTGCCACCTACCAGTGAGAAGAACCTGGCTCTGTCCCCTTGATAACCCCTTGATAACCTCCTTGTAATTGCTTTCTACCAGGTCCCCCCACAGCCTTCCCTTCTCCAGGCTGAACAAGGGCAGGTCCCTCAGCCTCTCCTCACAAGGTGAATGTTCCAGTCCTCTCATGACCTTGGTGACCCTCTGCTGAACTTGCTCCACTTTTATCAGTGTCTTTCTTGCACTGCAGGGGGGGAGGGCAAAGCTGGACACAATATTCTAGGTACAGTCTAACGAGTGCTGAGCTGAGGGGGATAGTCACTTCCCTCGCCCTGCTAGCCGTGCTTCTGTTCATGCAGCCCAGGAGGCTGTTGCCCTTCTTGGCTGCCAGGGCTCACTGCTGGCTCACCTTCACCTTGCTGCCTGCCTGCCAAGACCCCCAGTGCCTTTCCTGCACACCTGCTCCCCAGCCAGTCAGCTCCCAGGCTGTGTCATTGCAAGGGGCTCTTCCTTCCCAGGAACGCAACTCTGTATTTGTCTTTGCCGAATTTTGTGTCTCCTGTCAGCCCATTCCTCCAGCCTGCCTACGTCCCTCTGAATGGGGTCTGCCCTCACTCATATCAACTTCTTCCCCAATTTGTTGTCATCTTTCTGTTTGTATTCCTTTTTTCTTTTGTGTTTTTTTTTTAAGGACAGCACAAGTGTTAATCATTAATAACCAAATATATGCCTTTATTTCTGAAGGCTACCACCTTATAATTGAAAGAAAAAATTCTGTAAAGTTGTTTATAGTACAGCAGCTGTTATAACATTGTCATTGGAACATCCATCTTCCTTTTAAATGCTACTTTCATATTTTCAGTCACAGGATGTGCTAGTTAATGTTGCTCTGTCTTCAAAACCATTAGCCAGCCATTGTAAATAATTCCATTTTAAATAAGATAGGCTTTAATTGTCTGATTACAATCTACCTACTGAATAAGAATGGAGTTTTAAGCTTTGTGCTTTCTTTCTGTCATTTATTGAACATCAGATTTTGGAAGGATATTCAGTGTTTGCTATGGCTCAAGAAGAGAATGTGCAATTTATGTTGTTCTAATCATTGTTCTAGGATTTTATTTTTACATTGTGTTTTTATTTCATTCTTTAATTTTGCAACTTTACATACCAGTATGGATGTGCCAGTTTTTGAACCCATTACTGGGAAAACATGAATGGGAGATTATGAACATTCCAACCATGATAACTTGAACATAGATGCATCCTCACAAAATAAAAAAAATACTCCTTCCATTTATAATCATGTCGCTTCCTATTTTTTCTTTAGGTCATTTCTATCGCATAGAAGGACAGAAGGATCATCTGCTTTGTGGCAATAGCTCAGATGCAGGGTAAGGTACACTGAAAATTACATACTACTTGTCTAAACAAAATGTAAAAAATATTACTCTAAACATAAAAAGCTCATTTAGCTACCTAACTTCACCTAATATAATAACCATAACCACATAACCTAATATGTGGTTGTGGTTCATAGTAAGTACCACTTGAATGAGTAAAAATGTTAAATGAGAAAATACTTTGCTGTAAATTTCTTTTAAAAACTCTTATGTACTGGAAAATTCCATTTCAGCAGGTAGATTTTGTATTATCAGTGACTGAAGAACATACTACTATATCATGGATTTCATGCCATTTCTCATCTCTAAAATAGGCATGGGGCACTGGGACTTATGACCAACTTTTGGGAAGACATCTTCAGGATTCTTCTGTCTGTGGACTGCATGCATGGCACTGTCTTCCTCTCTCTTTGTGACAATTCTTTGTAACAAAATCATGTAATTCTATACTCTAATGATATATCAATCCATCCCTTGGTTTTTGTTGGTTATGTCTTTAAAACAGACTTAAATCTTCTTTTTTTGTAAACATTTCATGTATATATGTAAGTAACTATCAGATAATTCTATGTGTGTGTGTAAATACGCATCTAATATACACACACATATATGAAAAGAAATTTTTATAGTAACTTTCTATGGAGGTTTTGGAGGCAAGAACCTCTTCTACCCTTCGAGAATGGAATCATATTTGAAACAGCGTGCCTACAGTTGATACCAAGATTGGACCCCCTACTATCGAAACTGATATGTACAGTTTCAGGAGATAAAAGTATCACTATGATGGTTATTTGCTGTTGAGGAATTGGTGGAATTTGTTAATTTGACTTGACTAGTTCACAAACCTGAAGAAACCAAGAAATCTGGTATGCCAACCCTGCTGATAGACAAATTTAGCATAAAATATGTCTACTGACTTTCTTTTTTTTGTATGGAAGTATTCACCTTATGGAATCTCTGCGTTAAGTAAATACATTGTTTCCACTGAAGAGGTATCTGCAGCGGTAATACCAAACTGTTAGGAATAAGTTTTGTTTTGTGTATAATAGTGAAAGAAGGTAGGAAGAGAGATTTTTCATTTACTTGTTTGCTCTTTTCTGGATTTTTTTAAAGAACATTCTTTTCATTTCCTCACTAATTTTTAAAATGTAAGCCACAAATAGCAGCCCCCTTCACAGATTAGATCTAATGAACCTTCATTAGAAGCTCAAGGTACAATAATTTAAAAACAATTTTAGTGTTACATGATTTTTTTATATGCATTGCTTTACTTCTTTTTTTCTTTTTCCTTTTTTTCCTCCTAGTAAATGTCCAGAGGAGTTTATCTGTGTGAAAGCTGGTAGAAACCCCAACTATGGATATACTAGCTTTGACACATTCAGTTGGGCTTTCTTGTCACTGTTTCGACTGATGACACAGGACTACTGGGAAAATCTTTATCAGCTGGTGAGTGTATAGTAAAAATTGTTGTTAGTGTCTTACTGGCCCCAAATCAAACATGGAAAGGCCATTCATATTTATATCACATACCATTGCTACTGTTAGCAATTGAAAATGGACAGTATTTATGAAAGGAAGCAAATTCAGTTGCAGAATTAAACAGAAATGGGCAACTTGCTACAGAATCTCCCATTTCTGAAGAGGCACATGAGGGTTTTTTGATCCTTTATTTAATTTTTACAGTGTATGTTCCATTTTGTGCCTCATGATAAGATCTCTATTTTCAAAAACTTTAATATTGAGTTTAAATTGTAAAAATACTCTGTGACAGCAAAATCTGAGTCTTAATTTCTGTACTTTGAATCCTACTTTTGATAACTAAGAATGCATGTCTTGACATAAATTACTTTTCTTACCATAGCTTTTCGTTGTATCGTGTGTGAAAATCTGTTAATTATGATAAATATTATCTTTTAATTATTTAATGAGTTGTGCCATCTTTAATGCTTTTGGTTATTTCAAGGGGAAGGCGTGCCTTGTATTAACATGGTAAACATACTAAGCGTCCAACCTGTGATGTGTGATTGACATGAATTACTCTGATCCCACATCCTTTTCAAGATTATTAGGCATTACAAGAGGTTTGTCTCAAAGCAGCATGATCCTCAAACATGTTTTTCACATACATGAATGCTCCCTTTATTTTGATTACTTCATAATTCAGAAAGCTTATATGATCTTATTACAGAAGGAAGAACAACTCAATAGTAGTTTTGCACTTTTCAAATTCAGTAAATGCTTATGAACTGCAGAACTGATGCATGTCTTCACCAGATGGATCATTTCTCTTCTTCTCCTATAGACACTACGAGCTGTTGGCAAAACATACATGATATTTTTTGTTCTGGTCATTTTTCTGGGTTCCTTCTATTTGATTAACTTGATTTTGGCTGTGGTTGCCATGTCCTATGAGGAACAAAATCAAGCAACTATGGTTGAAGCTGAACAGAGGGAGGCAGACTTGCAGCAGATGCTTGAACAGTTAAGGAAGCAGCAAGAAGAAGCTCAGGTATTTTCTAACAAGAGTTTGAGCTTTAGTATATTCCTTTGCATGCTATTCGTTCAAAACAAAACCAATAATTAACATATTTAAAAAGTCATTCTTTTACATACCTCACAGATACTTTAGACTGCTTTCTCTATGGCTTTTTATTGCTTTTCAAATGTATAATGTCTGAAGTGTTAATGAGTTTCTGAACTAAGAACAAAAAGTACTCCCCAAATCACAAGAATAGTTTTAAAATAAATATTTCTTATCTAGGGGTAGTATCTAATAACCTGTCATGATGATTTTCCAAATTCTTAGCTTAGAAATAATTGCAATATTTGTGAAATACTTGTCAAGACTTGATTAGAGTTTAAGATATTCTTATCCATAAATTTCTGACTAATTTTTGCTACTTGTGTTATCACCAGAGAATCAAAGACTGGAAGTAGTACCCCAAAGTTTTTTTCCTAAGAGCAGCTTAAGGAAGCTGTTACTTACAATAACAGTTAAAATTAGTTTACTAAATTAATATAAACTGAAGTATGACTCTGTTTAGCTCTTCTGCTTGCAATTGCATTCATTCTAATTAATAAATTTATTAATTTTCAAGTATTTTCGAATGAACTTTGTGGCACAATGCTGTACACAATGCAGGCTGACTCCATGATATAGATGCAAAGTAGAACTCTGTTCAGACGGCAACTTTCATAACTGCCCTTTTATTTTTACTCATATTAAAGAATTCCATTTGAAGTTTTGCACAAATCCATCTAGGCTTTTGTCACACATCTAGCAGTAATTTGATATAAGTCTTAGGAACAAGGACTATAGCTTCTTTTTAAAAAATGGTGTGATTTGTAAAGCTTCATGTTAAATAATTGCTGTGGCAGGCAATAGCAGCAGCTGCAGCAGAGATAACTGAGTACAGCGGTGAAAGTGAGATTGGTGGACCCTCAGAGAGTTCTTCAGAAGCATCCAAGCTTAGCTCAAAAAGTGCCAAAGAAAGGAGAAACAGAAGGAAGAAAAGAAGGCAGAGGGAGCTCTCTGGAGAAGAGGATGGCACAAAGGATGAACAGCTTCCAAAATCTGAATCAGATGGCAGTATCAGAAGGAAGGGTTTCCGTTTTTCTTTTGATGGGAACAGACTTGCTTATGGGAAGCCATTCACATCACCCCACCAGGTACTGTGAATAGTGCAGTTGTCATTTTGGGGGTTTGTGAGTTAAGTGTAATGTCTGGCAAACTTCACTGCAACTTTGCAAAGTAATATAACCAAGGAAAAATAACGTTGTATTATTTTAAATACCAGCTTACTGTTGGTATTATTTTCTAGAGTGTACCTAAACAAGTGCTTTGATCGCTCTCGTTTTATTGTTTAGGATCTGGTGGGTCTTAACATGCACAGCAGCATTGCATTTTCCTAGTTAATTTGAAATAGAAATCCCTTTTTAATTCATAAAAGGAAAAATTAAGTATAATGTATCAATGTAGAAGACTAAGGGTATTGATATCTTTTAACATAATGCATGATCTATGTAGATCATTAGAATTTCTAGAAGTCTTGATTCTCTGTAATACAGAGATGGAAACTACTATGGCTTTCTGCATGTTCATTTTTTCTCTTCAATAATTGTTTTAGGTATACTGTAAATTTACCCATTCAGATGACTGTCATCTCTAGTGCATGTGTCTGAAATCTACCTAAGGCACTGTTTTAAAGAAAACACTGACAGATTGCTGGGGAATATTTTTTTTTTTTTTAAATACATGGATTTGCATTTTGTATATTTAAAATTTTCAGCCAGTCATGTTGTTTATGTTTCCTTTGCAGTCTTTACTGAGTGTTCGTGGCTCCCTGTTTTCTCCCAGACGTAGTAGCAGAACAAGTCTTTTCAGTTTTAGAGAATACGGGAGAGAGATAGGATCTGAAAATGACTTTGCTGATGATGAGCACAGCACGTTCGAGGATAATGGGAGCAGAAGAGGTTCTCTCTTTTTGCCACACAGACACAGTGAACGGCGCAGTAGTAACATTAGTCAGGCTAGTAGATCATCAAGAAGGCTGCCGGTGTTTCCAGTGAATGGGAAGATGCACAGCACTGTGGATTGCAATGGGGTGGTTTCCTTAGTGGATGGACCACCAGGACTGTTGTCACCTACTGGACAGCTTCTGCCAGAGGTGGTAATAGATAAACCGACAACTGATGACAATGTAAGAAAGTCTTAAATTACTCCAGGTTTCATGACCTTTCTTTATTGCACAGGCAATGTTTTAATGGAGTGAAATGCTTTGAAAATGGTTGAGAAGTTGTGAATGCTTTTGCATATCTTACTGTAATGAAATGGGTTTACAGTGATTCACTCAAAAGTGAGAGGCTGAAGCATGAACATGAAAGAATAAACTAGCACATTTTTATATACCTGCAGAGCAAGGGTATGCATGCACCTGCGTAGTGAATCACATTAGTAATGTTCCATTGCTAAATCTGTTTTAGAACCCAAAATAGGGTGCTCAGCTTTCTCAACATTCTGCATATTACTATGTTGTATTAATTTTTTTTTTCTTTATGGTTTTAACCTACCTTTAAATGTATTTCCTAATTCTTTATCAGTAATCTGCTGGTTCTGCCTTTTTCCCCTGTCCATATATTTGGTGTTGTGCAAATGTGGCATAACCTTTAAGATTATGTTGATATTTTAGAAGCTCTGAAAGCTTTTTTTCTCCTGTGTCTCAGAGATGATCTGAGTTTCTCACTGCCTAGGATCAGGGTATAATTAAAAAAAAAAAAAAAGTACATGCAAATTCATTCATTTCTCCATCTGGTCAGTTTTTCCTTTTCTCTCAGTCTGCTTTGGGAATGGAGCAGAGGGATCTGTTGCATGTTTTTTCCTAGAAACCTTCTTTTACTGAAACAAAAATTTTTACAGAGGTCACAGCATCTGAAAGTACGTCAGCCAGATTCCTTATAGTTATCAGTCAGATTCCTTGCAGATACAATCTTCTTGCAGTTTATTATACTTTCATTTTCATGCATTTATTTAATTTACTGGAAACAATTCTACCCATGCTCATACACTCAAAACTTCTTTATAATTGAGGTATGTTCAATGATATAACTATTACACAGCTTTCAACTTCTTTACTACTATACTTTAAAAAAGAAGTATTCATTTTTTGGGTCAATTAAGTCGGACTTCTTTTGTTTCTTCAGTTGAAATTGATAAAATAAATCAGAGATTATGGCTATTCAATGCAAAAGATATCCTTTAAATTAGTTTTGAATGGGCATAGAGATCAAGACTGATCTATAAAAATGACTTTTAGAGAATAATTGTTATTGCAGAAAACTTCCTAGATAAATCACTTCTTACAAGTGTCTTGTGATTGAACTACTTTAGAAGTGAAATATTGGTAAAGAAAGCATGGAACTGGGAATTTTTTAGACTCCAGTGCTGCAACAGTCTTGGTTTGTTGTGTCTAATGTGGAGTTAACAGTAGTTAACTATAATGCAATGGTAGTCTGGGAACTAAATATCAAAATCTTTTTTTTTAGTATTTTATAAGTATTAACAGTATTCAGAAGTAGAACCTGAAAATAGCCATTTAAAAAAAATACTAGGCTTATGTTATATTTGTAATGGAAAAAAATCTGATGTAACAACACTTAAATACAAAGCTTTATATATTGTGAATTCATTGAAACTGAAGAGTCTTTCTGATACCTGTTTCGCAGTATTTCTAAAACTGAATTTAATTTACACCCCTCTTTTTTTTTTTTTTTTAATAGAGCACTACTACAGAAATAGAAATAAAAAAGAGGCGTACAAGTTCATATCAAATACCAATGGAGTTGCTGGAGGATCCCAATTTAAGGCAAAGAGCCATGAGTATAGCTGGCATCATCACAAATACAATGGAAGGTGTGTTATAACCGCAGATACGTGAACTTTCTTGACATAGTCTTAGACTTGCTTGAAGGTATTACATCACAGTGCAAATACAGAAGACAAAAAATATGTAGCCATTGCAAATACATAAACTGAATAATAGAACACAAATGCATGTACATAGTGAAAAAAGAAATGAAGGAATCTGATAAGCAGGCTAAACTAAGAAAAACGTTCTAATCAAAATAGATAACGTATATGTTTTATGCTAGTTATTAATTTTTAGCAATACAGTTATTGGAAGAAATGCCTTGTGATAAATTTTCCACTAACTATGCTGTAAAAATGTAACGGAAAATTAAAGGCCAGGCCTTAGTTAATACAGAGGAGGAAATTTGTAGTAGGATTATTTGGAACAGTGAAATTACTACTAGTGAAATTCTTGAAAGAGCTTGAATAGCTTTCAAAGTGATTCATAGTGAAATTAATCTTATTTTCCCCCAAAATAAATAATTACATATTTGAGAGGACTGTGAATTTGGAATTTTTTACTGAGAAAATTTTTTTTAGTTTAGCCTGCTTATCAGATTCCTTCATTTCTTTTTTCACTATGTACATGCATTTGTGTTCTATTATTCAGTTTATGTATTTGCAATGGCTACATATTTTTTGTCTTCTGTATTTGCACTGTGATGTAGTACCTTCAAAATATAAGCATAAATAGCTTTTTTTAAAAAAAATACCCAAGATTGTATGATATTAAAAATAGACAACTTTTTCAATTATTAGCTCAAAACTCTTGAGGTTTTTCATCTAAAACCTTTTCAGTCAGCAACAATAAGTTAAGTTCCTGGAAATCTGAGGAGGTTCCTCCAAACATCCTTACTGGTTCCAGGGATAAAGATTAAAACCTGAAAAAGCAGATAAACAAAAATTTATCTTCACTTTGTCCAAAGCTTGTTCACTATACATTTCTTTTTTTTCCCAGAACTTGAAGAATCCAGGCAAAAATGTCCACCTTGCTGGTATAAGTTTGCCCACACTTTCTTAATTTGGAATTGTTGGGAGCCCTGGTTAAAAGTAAAGAATGTAGTTGAATTTATTGTAATGGATCCACTTGTTGATCTGGCTATCACTGTTTGCATAATTTTAAACACACTGTTTATGGCCATGGAACATTATCCAATGACTACCAATTTCTGTAATGTACTTAAAATAGGAAATCAGGTAAGTCCATCGAACTATATAATTTGATACAGTTGGAACCTGATTTCTCTCTGAAATAGAATTACTTTTATTATTTTTATTATCAACCCATAAAATAAATATTAAAGGTTTAATTGTATTAAAAGTAGTCTAAAAATACTACTTGAGATATGTTGTATTTAAGCATTTGATTTCTGTATTAAAATTTCGGCAAATAGAGTTTTCAACAAGCAGGGTTTGAATGACATGCAACCAAAAGAAATCTGACTTGTTTTTATTTAGTATTACAAAAAAAGTAGGAGCCAAATTAGATCCTTTCTACTGTAAGTACCATTGATAACACAAGAAGAGTTGGATATTATTTTGGATTATTATTTTACACTGTTATTTTTTGTGTTATTTTTGTATTTCCATGAAGAATGTTGCTTTGATTGGTCCATAACAATTTGGAAGGCAAAGAATGTGTGACTTATTCCAAGAGTGTCTGTTGATACAGTTGGGTTTTGTTCCCTAGTGGACACAGTCTATAGGTCGGGTTTGGGGTGGTTGGTTCATTTGTTTTACGATGGCAATAATACAGATAACCTTATCTGCGATACTTCTTAACTTATGCTTATTGTAAGTGGTAATTCTGGTGATTATGATGTAGCAAAATAATAAACCGATTTGATTATTAGAATATATGACATTCTAGTACATGTTGGGAACATATGCAGGTTTAAGTCCAGAGCTGTTAATGTGTCAACATTTAAATTGTATGCCGATTTATTTAGCCAATACAGACATAGTTTAATATTTTCACCTTAACCTGGAGTCAGAGATCACTGTCTGTGGAAGATGATCATGTCATGTTGCTGTTTAAAATAGATTCAGGATGTATTTGAGGAGAAAGACAGGGAAGATAAATAGGTGAGGATCAATAGCTGTTGCAGAGGGTTGTCCTGTAGATCATGCTTGCGTGTTTTACCCAGGAAACACAACCATCTTTTCCTTTCATATGTAATGAAATATCTTAATATTAGTCTAATTTTGAGCTATGTGAGTATAAGTGTACCTTCATGCTGATAAGAATTTGTGCTTACTCCCAGTCAGCTGAAATGCCACTATAATACAGATGTAGTTTTAGCAGTTGATTTCTTGCTTTTTGAACTGTGTAGCACTATCTTTTAAAGACTGTCAAATGCTCCTGATTTTTTAAAGGTTTTTTCATCTTTCTAGTAGAAGATAATAATTTATGCAGTTCTGTTCATACTGGTGGTCATACGTCTACCATAAATACCATTAATTTACTCCCTTTTTCAGATGCATTGTTTGCCTTCTGCTTCACAAGGCATCAGAGGCATTCAGAGGCAGAAAGGAGTTTTACTTCAAACATGAGCCTCAGCATAACTGGCCTTTTTTTGGCAGCTAGAAAATGAAGATATGCTTACTGTATCTGTGAGTTCTCATGAAGAATTCATTTAATAGCAAATCACTCTCCAAATTATGACCAATTCATATTTTTCCACACACCTTTGTTAAAGCAGCTTCCATTGTGGCAAGAGCAACTGTAGTTACTTTGCTGAGGAAAGTTCCTTTAGTTGGATGGATGGCAGATATGAGGAGCAAACAGGAGGCCTGTTAGGAATAGTTTATTCTTCACCAGTTACTAAATGTATCTCGGGTTTAACTAAAGAGTTATGCTGCAGCTCATTTTGATGTTGCCACTTATCTTCTCCGTGAAGTTCAGCTTGTGATAATTTTCCTACTGTGATCCTGCTGTAAGAGGGTTGTTACTTCTTACTTAAGTTGTTCTTTATCTGCTGGTTCAACTTATTCATACTCATCTATAAAGTAACAATAAATATTCTTCCTTCAGGTTTTTACTGGAATTTTTGCAGCAGAAATGGTTCTCAAGATAATTGCCATGCATCCTTTTTATTATTTCCAAGTTGGCTGGAATATTTTTGATAGTTTTATAGTTACCCTTAGTTTGGTGGAGCTTTTTCTGTCAAATGTGGATGGATTATCCGTTCTCCGATCATTCAGATTGGTAAATAAATTAGTGATAATAATATATCTGCATTAATTAATGCATTATATTTGTATTTTAACTGTACTCATGTAAATAAGACTTTTTAGTAATATTATGTATATTTTTGGCAAAGTGTCACAGGATATCTCTTTCAAGCATGTTTTACAAAATTATGTATGTTATCACTGAATAGTGTGTGCTGTTTTATGCAACTAAGTATTTTTTAAAGGAAAAGAGCTGTAATTTTATTGTAATTTTTTTAACATGGATGGGTAAAGCACAGTGAAGTGTACAATTTATTTAGTGCATATTGATAGTTATAAATAAATAAAACATTTGTAGTCTTCTGTCTGCTTCCATATCTGGAAGTTGCAAAAAGACTAGACATGTTCTTTTAAAATGTAGGAATAAAATTCATATTTTTTCAATTTTAAAAAAATTGTTTTTTCCTTTTCCCCTTGGCAAAACAAAAAAAGGAATGCTTTATTTTGTTAGAAAAATATTTTTATTTTAAAAATGAGAAATGAGCTGTGAGACATTCTTTCCCTGTGGTCTCTTTCCATTTTGCATTTCCATTTTGCTTTTATCTGCAAACAAAAAATATTTAATACCTTTTTTTATTTTGGGTGGGGTATGGGTAAGAAAGAGTATGAATT